CCTGGCTAATTTTTATATTTTTAGTAGAGATGGGGTCTCACTATCTTGGCTGGGCTGGTCTCAAACCCCTGACATCAAGTGATCTGCCTGCCTAGGCCAACCAAAGTGCTGGGATTACAGGTGTGAGCCACCACATCACACCAGGCCCTATTTTTTTTTTTTGAGATGGAGTTTCGCTCTTGTTGCCCAGGCTGGAGTGCAATAGCACGATCTTGGCTCACCACAACCTCCACCTCCTGGCTTCAAGCCGGCTAATTTTTTGTATTTTTAGTAGAGACGGGGTTTCTCCTTGTTGGTCAGGCTGGTCTCAAGCTCCCAACCTCACGTGATCCGCCCACCTCCCAAAGTGCTGGGATTACAGGCGCGAGCCACCATGCCGGGCCAACATTATTTTTTTTAAAGGGTGAGTAGAGCCACCCACCTTGAAACGATCTATCAAGGGTGATGGCCAGCCCAAGGCCATCTCACAAGGGAATAAAAGCCCTGCCCTCCCTCTCCTGACTTTGTCCAACTCCAGCCAGGGATTTCTATGGACAACCCAGCCACAAGCTGGAAGAACGAGATCTATTGATATAGGGTGGACCTTGGGACTGGTGGGAAAGGGTGGAGAGTACAACATATTCAGCTCAGTAGTGGAGATGAAAAGGGGCAACAGAGTCAAACTTAAGGGATTTCAAGGCAGGCAGATTACTTAAGGCCAGAAGTTTGAGACCAGCCTGGCCAGCTGAGGCATGAGAATTGCTTCAGTCCCCAGGAGGCGGAGGTTGCAGTGAGCCGACATCGTGCCACTCTACTCCAGCCTGGGTGACAGAGCAAAACTTGTCTCAAAAAAAAAAGAGATTGGATTTGGGGAGTGAGGGAGTGAGGGAGGTTTTGGGCTTGAACAATTTGGTGGCCTATTGTTTGAGCAGAGACACTAGAAGAGGATCTACTTTGTGGGGCGGATAACATCGTCTTCCGTTTCCAGTGTGTTTTGGGGTGCCTGGAGACATCCTAGTCTCAATGCCAATAAGCCACTTGATGGATAGGTCTGGGGCTGGGGTAGCGTTTGAGCATCATCAGTGTGTGGATAGTATCGAAACCTCTGTGACTGCCTGAGAGCAGATAAGGACAGAACAGGGAAGGCGGGGAGGAGGGCCTGGGACTGATCCCTGGGGAACACTGCCCAGCTAGAGGCCTTACACACAACCTAGATATGCAGAGCTGCGAGCATGCAGCACCCCTTGGCTGAAGAGGGCAGCAGCACAAGGGAGATGGGTGTGGGGAAGGGCCCAAAGTCTGACCTGGCCCCTTGCCCACCCGCTTCCGCCCTGCTGGTGAGCCTGGCCAGTGAAGTCCAGGACCTGCACCTGGCCCAGAGGAAGGAAATGACCTCGGGTTTCAACAAGGGGCCCACCCTGGGGCTGCTGCCCGACGTGCCCTCCTTGATGGAGACGCTCAGCTACAGTTACTGCTACATGGGAATCATGACAGGTGAGTGGGCCTGCCCAACAGCTCTGTCTCTCCGCCACCCTGAGTGCCTGTTCTGTGTTCCCGCCCTGCCTGGGGCAACCTCCATCCTAGCATCTGCTGCTGTGAGGGTGAGCATGTGTCTGGGTCTACGTCTCACGCCTCTGCTGGACCAGAGCTGCTTCGGGGTAGAAGCTGGCTGTTCTCAGCCTAAGTGATTCCTTGCTCGTCTCTTCTCCTGTAGCTTATCGGGAGCACAGAGAAGAGAGAAAGGAGGTAAAGATCTATGTCAACCTGATGTTTTTGCTGCCTAGATAACAAATATTCACAGCTTAGGGTCCACTTTCAGTTTAAGGAAATATTTTTCATCT